CAACAGCAGTTTAGACAGGGACCCAGGCTGGAAGGATGTTGGAATTCTTCTAGAATATAAATGTGGCTGCAGAGTGCTTCCTTACCCATCACCTACCTTGTCTTCAGTTAACTTTTAGGAGTTAGGGCCCCTAATGGCTGCAGCTTGGTTAGAACAAAATCTAGTACTCTACTGGATGGGCTTTTTCAAATTATCTTTCATGATAGTGATAATATTCCCTTTCAATTTGAAGCATTTTGAATCCTTCTCCTTCTGCTTCCTTCTTGCAGAGCTTTCCATTGAGTCTCAAAAGGGGTTATGGTTCTTTTTTGTTTCTTATATTGTTGTTCATTTTTGTACAGTAATTGGTGCCTCCCCTCAGGTGTAGCCCCCATAGTGCTCCTGCCACCATCTCACCCATGAACCATCACCATAGTCTTTTGTGTTCTTCCCTCCCTGTTTTTATACCCCTCTCTTGCCTTCCCTGTATGCCTCAGATCTACAGTCAGCTGACTAGTTTTGTCTTTTTCTTGACCGTTTGTTCAATTTCTCTATATTCCACATGCAAGTAAAGCCATCTGATATTCATCTTTTTCCTTCTGTCTTACTTTGGCTAACATAATCCCTTCCAGCTCCATCCATGTTGCTGCAAATGGCATGCATATGTCTTTTTGATCACTAAATAATATTCCATTGTGTTGATATACCACAACTTTTTTTGTTCATTTGTCTGTTTGGGGGCATTTAGGGGTTATGCTTCTTAGAACTGCATTAATCTGCTTCAGAAGATCATGGTGTTTATTTTTGAAATGTCCTTATTGATTTCTTTAAGCTTAACTCTGGTCCCTATCATCATATACTGGGTGGGGGTCGGGGGGTTGGTAAAATTGAAAGAGAAGAAGGAAATGAGAAGAAGGAGAAAGAGGAGGAGAAGACATCAACCCATTCTATAATTCTACTAGGTTCTCATCCTCTTAGTTGAAACAGAATTCCTTTCAAATAAACCTTAAATATATGAGTGGGAAGGGCTGGCTAAGGTGGGGACAGCTGCAAGTTGGAGCACCTTCTTGCTTTTTTCATTACATGGTGCTGTTTGGTTTATTCAACAGGTATGTGTGTCTCTGGCTGAAATAGCATATCTAGTCCAGAAAAAGTGATACTATGAAGATCTTATGCCATGTCTTACAGAACGTTTCTGGAGGCCTTTTGCGTAACTCTGCTTCATTTCCTCAGTGCAAGCTTAGCAATGTCTCAGTAGACAGAAAGTAAGAATTACATGCTCCCGTGTGGACAATAAAAGGGTTGACAAGGCGCTTGCTTCTCTTTCTACCTTCACTTTCCTCTTCTGTAAAAGAAAAAGACTGTGTAAGATTATTTTTTAACTCCTTTTCAGTGTTCTGTTTTTTTCATCTGGTATCTTCCTTTCTTCCTTTCTATCTACCTATTATCTAGTTGTCTTTCCCTAGTTATTTCAGAGGTGAGTTTAAGATAATGAAACTTAAATTTCAGTGCTCATCACTAAAATCATTCCAAATACTAAAAAAATTCATTTTTAACTTTATAGTTCAATGTTAATACTATTTTCTTCAAGAAAACTCTCAGAGTTGTATATGCATTAGTGTCCACAGAAGCTGTATTTCTCCCCAGATCGGTTCAGGAAAAAAAAAAAAAAAAACAAATACAGATAAGAATATCCAAATAGGAATTTAAAGGGAGTAAGAAAAAAATGAGTGAAATATGAAGTGAGTTTATGGAGTGGATCATCCAGTTGAGCTCCAAGCTTTTTTCCTGGAAGGCAAGTTTGACAAGAGGCATCTGTAAATCACATAACTCTTGCTACCAGAAGTGGAGGAAATGTTCAAAGAAAACAGAAAATGTTCATTAATACTGAACTCTGAGCAATGTCTCTGTGGAGCATTTTACAGAGCATGAGTTCATACCTTAACCAAAAGTGTATTTTCACTATGATATAGATCTTGGAAACAAGCCATACATTTCTGCTCAAGTATACATTGGGCAACACTTGTTTCTGGCATTTTCCTGGGCACTTACTAGAGAGACAGAAGGAAAAAGGCATGGTGCCTGCCCCCACAGAGCTCTCAGGCAATCCTACAACAGTCATAAAAACCAGTTGATCATCTGATACTGGAGACCTGAGGAAAGAGGTGTGTGATCCCAAAGGACAAAGTGGCTAATACGCTGCAGAAGCATGGAGAAGAAAGGAGAGAAATAACTTTTAAGCTCAACTTTAAAGATAAGGATCTCCTTTACATAATAACTGTCACTTCTGAAGGAAATGACCAACATGTGCATAGGTGATTTTCCTGAACATAATTTGACTCTTGTTCCTGTGGTTTATAACCAATCTCGATTATAAGATGAAAACACCTTTGTCGATTAAATACCTTTCATGAAATGAATGGTACCTTCCTGTCTTACTTCCATAAGCATTTGAAAGATTTCTCATGACTTCCTCTTAGTCTGTTTAATGAATATCATGGGTTTGTTAAGTTTTCTTAGTTGTCTGTGGAGAACACAAAGCTAAGTGTTTGGATATCACAATGAGAGACATTAGGGCAAAATATTTGAAAACATTCTAATGGGCATCCCTTGGCATTTGGGTATTTTCAACTTCAAAAATCTTTATTCCAATGAGCATTTTAAAATCTTTTCAAAGCAATTCCCATTCCACAGCCATGGAATCGAAAGTCACTTGGCAGCACCTCAAAAAATCTTAAGCCATGGAATGAGGAAGAGCCTGAATTTTAAGCATCCAAATATCAGGTAATAACAAACATCTTCATGAGGAAAATAGGATCTCATAATGGCCTTGCTTGGCAAGGCTTGTATAACTGGAATGAACATCACTCCCTTGCACTGGCATCCCCAAAGGAGTAGAAACATTTCTGCATCTTTCTAATGTATTCAGCTGCAGCAAGTACTGCATCAAACAGTCTTGCAGGTTGTCCTCCATTGTGTCTGGCCCAATACCCTGAGAACTTTGCCTTGCATTATGCATGGCCCTCTAACTCCCTGTAAGTTTGAAAACACATGAAAAGCCTCTCCCTGCCATCCTAACTTCCATTCTCGTTGACAGATTACAAAAGGCAAGCAGCTCCTTGCCATGGAGCAGGATTTTCAATCATGGGGAAATTGGGAGCTTCTGCAATTGATACTAAAATTATGATGCTGCCATCGTTCCTCACTCAACGGGGGATTTGCAAAGGGAAAAAAAAAGATTCAGTACCAAGTCGCTGTCACGCTGCGACAAAGATAGTCTACAGAGTAGGGTCAGAAATTCAGAGGTCCTTGACGAAAATCACATTTGGCTTGAAATTCAGCTCATAGGACAAAGTTAAAACACAGAAATGGAAATTTAGGTTTCCAATTTTGGTTGATTAGTGATCGGTAATGAAGCCAAAGCACCATAAACTCTGTGCATTTCAAATTGAGAGATTTTGAATGCATGCAATAACTGAAAATAAGATTTCATTCCTTCCAGGGTTGTTAAAAAATCATGGTAAATTTTAATTCCTCCTTCTTGCCTCCCCACTGAGAAGTAGGAACATAGCTCTGTTTTCAAGAATCAAAGCTAGAAAACTCTGAGTAAGGTGCAATGATTATTTAAAATAAGCAGAGGGCAGTTTTTTTCATATTTAAATACGAAAATAGAAATGTATTGATTCCTACATTTACCACCTGTTAGTACACTTCAGTGATGTGGAGAACAGGTCTGAACAGCTCATTAACAGCTATCATTTATTGACAACGTACCATGTGTCAGACATTTTTATGGATTATCTCAGTCAATCTGCACAGCAGCCTTATGCAGGAGATATTATTAGCTCAATGAGGAAAAAGGTAGGAAGAGACAAGGGCACTAGCCTGTATCGTCCAGCTAACAATTATTAAGCAGGAGTTTCCCCAATTCTGTCTGACTTTTATCAAATGCTCTCACCCACATTTGACAGAGGGTCTCAATCTCTGACTTCTTTGTTCTTTTAAAGCAATAATATATATATATATAAAACTGTGGTTTCCAACACTGTGCATGATGTACAAGTATCTCTAACTTTTCATCAGCAATAATATTACAGTGGTGTTTGCTTGATATACTAACTCTAACAGTGAGAGTAATCACAGCAAAGACAGAGCACATACTACCTGCTGAGAAATATTTTGAGTGCTTTATATATATTAATTTATATAATCCTCATGACACCCCAAAAAATAGAAAAACTGAGCCACTGAATACACAGCAGTGCACTCCAAACAACCAGTAGAACAGCTGACCTTTAACCTGACAGCCTGGCTCCCTGACCCGCCTCTTGGCTCAGGGTTTTCATTGGGATCCAGATGAAATGCACGGCCATGTTTATCCCAAGTCCAATCACATTCTGAAATGGTTCCACCATTTTAGCACAACCTGCAAATTAAAGGGGAAGCTTGAAAAATCGATGAAATCCATGATCAATATGAACATCCTAATGTACTTTTGAATTATTCTGCTCAATTAAATTTCTGTGGCAGAATTTAATCCACATATCTGACAATTAAAGGGGGAATAAAAATGATGGTTTTGGAAAATTACTCAAAGTGCCAAGTGACTTTCAATAGCTAACACGCATCTTACAACACAGTGTAAGATCTTCTACATGTGTGAATGTATTTGCACAGGTCCACATAGTGTGTATTTGATTTTCGTATGCAGAGCACAAGTCTAGCTCACTCTCTGTTTTGAACCACATACAAATATTCATTAACCTTATAGACAAGCACAAAATGTTTGATGTCTTAGAGCAGCTGTTGAAGTTGAGCATTAATTTTCCATCTTTGATGAGCACAGGAGTTTTGGAATGAAAGCAACATGATTTTAATGGATGGATTTTTTTCTATGTCTGTTTGCTAATGATCTGAAAGTTATCAAGTACTAAGTTTCTGATATTTTTATAGTATCTTAAAGATGTCTTGCACTAATGAAAATTTCTAACAGCTTTCTTTATTGTTTTCTTTCTCTCCAGGTATCCCCAGTATTTCCAGTATCGGTAGTAAGTAAAAAAATCACCAAACCCAGTCGAGGCTAGCTTTGCTTTGTTGTTCAGTATCTCAGACCTAATTTCCCAGTGTCCATTTCTGATGTAAAAGAGTATTTTCTCTGTGAGTTGACTTGTTTGTTCTCTGCACAGATATGGTAAGAACACAGATAAAGCAGTTTTCTATGCAGAAATCCTCTGTGGTTATGGCAGAACCTGAGCTCTTAGACCACTTTGGATCAATGAAGCCCACCGTTCGAGGCTCAATTACTTACTGAACTACAGATCTCTTAACAAAAATATAAACTCTCTTATTTACCCCTACTTAGTAACCAAGAAACAAATTGAACTCCCTCTGTAGGAGTGGATATGGATTCCTGCCATGATATACAAAAGCAGAGAAAGAATCTAATGCCTATGAATGCTTTAGGCATATTCAATAGAACCCCAGGAAAACACCATGAAAGTAGGGGGTGGGGGGGGCGTGAATTTTATTCATGCACTAAACTCTAGTCTTTGTGAAGGCCTGAAAGCTGCAGGTTGGAAAGAAAAGGAAAAAAAAAAATTCTAAGTCCATTTTTTCTCCTAAAATACAGTGATCCATGTTTTCATGACTATTGAGGGTTAAGTTTAGTAAAGAATATGAGAAGTTGGAGTCCAAGGACTAGAAATTTCTGTAAGAAAGGATTTAGGTAAAATAATTAATTAATTAATTAATTGGAAGCGTTTGAAAGAGAAACTCTCTTGAGACCTGTGTGGACTCTGTCCCCAGGACCCCAGCTTTGAGCATTCTCAGCTCTCATGGAAGACATCAGGTGAGAGAGCGCCCTGCTCACAGGTAAAACAGTGGCAGCAAAGCACCAAGCCAAGGAGCTTGTTAAGGAGAAGTCCCATTATTTCTCAGAGCAGAACCTGGCATATATTTATATATTATGTGCTGCTCGCCTTTTTTGTATTTCTCATTGATGGGTAATACCTTTGAACCTTGAACAACTGCTGAATAACAGATTAGATGCTAAAGACTCAGAAGGAAGAGGTTATCACGGTTGTGTGCAGAGAAGAATTTTCACTGTGGCCTCAGCCCTCCAGCCTCTGCGGTAGGTACCATGCAGAGTGATGACTGCAAATAGTTACAATGGAAGCATTGCAATACCCAACATCCATTGCAAAAAAAGCAATACTTGGATAATTTGGATAAAAAACTTCCTGCTTCTTATAAATGCACAGTCAGGTCTTCCAATTTATAAATCAACCCGGTTTACTTAAGCTTGTGAATAGGCCCAGGCACAAATTTGTTAAGCACTAGACATGTTAAATGCCGTGAAATTGGCTGCTTTGTGAATAGTAGTGTTCACATCCGTTAAGATACCAGCCTGATGCCACAGCCTCCTCCTTGTGATCTTGTTGAAATGGCATCTGTGCTACACACTTGCAAATGACACCTTCAGCAATGATCATCTGATTTTCCTGCCTTAGTGCCCCCTTGGCATTTGTCTAACTGTGTGTATTCCCCTCAATGTGCTCCTTTCAGGCCTTGACAATGGCATTTGCGCATGCATTTTAGTGCAAAAGGGAACCTAATAAAAGCAAACTGAGACAGACTGTGCGCTGCTACAGTGATCCGTCACAAGTGTCAGAAATGGATGGCTGGAAACTAGCTCTTTGGTGCTGGGGTGTGTTTCTGTTTGGAGTGTCAGTTGTGTGTTGCATGGGATCTCTGACTCCATGTGGTCTCACTGCCCATCTCATCCAGACACCTCCACCCCATACCCCATCTCTGAGCATCAGCAGATGTTAACCTTTTACACACTGAATCGGGAAATACCAGTCTTGTTTTGCTTTGTTTTATTTTGAAATCAGTGGTGACCTGAAAGGATGCTTTGTTATGCCTTTGGAAAATGTATGAACCTTTATTATCAGGGACCTAGGAAAATTTGACTCTTTAATACTTACCCAACCCCTTGAATAAATAATGTAACTGATCGCTCCCTGCCTTCTCTGTGCCTCTGGCTCTTCTGCTAGGAGTGCAATGGGTGTTTCCTTAGATTTTTTCAGTGAACAGGTGGCAAGAGTTTCCAGGAGTCAGCCAATATCACACACAGCTAGCTTGCCTATTGCCTGGCTTCAAGGTCAAGAGATTTATGATAAAACCATCAAGCATGATTGTATCTTCTGAGCTGCTTTAATGGCATTTACACATTCCTTCTTTGTGGGCTCATAAGGTGCTCAAGGAGTATACTGGTGGATTCCTTTCCTTTCCAACGGGCAAGAATTCACTCATAGATGATTCACTGCCCATTCTAGAGGGCACAGGAATGATGTTTCCAAGGTATAAGCCATAAAAGAGGGGGCTTCTTGGATTTTTAACTAAGCTTGGGTCTTTGCAGGGCTTTTCCCTTTATTCAAAGATGGAAGCAATAAACATAATCCTGCTAGATGCCTAGGAAGATGCCATTATAACATGCAACACCCATGAGACTCCAATGAACAAAGCATATCTCAAGGAAAATGAATGATGCATGTTATCTGCATAAATTATTGATGTATGTTACTATAAGTTGACATACATATGCTATATACACAATGACTAAAGACTCCAGAGCCCTAATAGATTTCAGTACAGATCTCAAGCTGTCAATGCCTGTATTAAGGTTCAAATGCATGGACAGAGTGGTCATCCTTTCCGATCATCTGCTAAAAATGTTTTGGAAACCAATTTCCCATTAAGGTCATTTGTACATGCTGTTGTCTCTCTATTAGCAAATAGGTTTCCCAGTTATCCTAAAGGTAGTTGACATAAAACTTAGCCATTTTGATGTGCTTTGGCCATGCTGAAAAAATACTGGTGATACTGTCAGCAATTAATGAATCCCAAAATAGATCTGTAGCCATTTGAGCTTTATGATCTCTGTTTCACTTTACCTGATGTGGTAACAATTCATTAGGTTTCATTTATTTAATCAAATGTATCAGGTACTTTTAAGTAAACATTTACAATTTTATCCAAGTGAACATTTGTTGATGCTGATGATCCAAATTGATAGTTGGTTGGATGCGGGTGTTTTCATTAAAGTGATAAACTAATCATTACTGTCTAACATATATTATCTCAGCCTTAGGCCTGAAAAGCAAGCGATTTTACTAATTATGTTAAACAGCATGATATAAAGAACATAATTAGACAAATAATAATTGGCCTAATGTGCAAATGGCTTTGTGTGGGTGACCATCACATAAAAAGCAGATGACAGATAAGAGTCAGAGGTGATAGGTAGATCATCCAGTGATAAGAAAGATCACAACACAAAAGACCATTCTTTAAAACTTGGAATTCTTAAGTCAATAAATTTTTCTTAAAATAGCAACGAGAGAGATGAAAACATTTTGTGAACCTGACTATACAATTCTGCCTTAAGTTACTTTCAGATGACTGACATGACTATATATAAAGCATAAAATATTGATGAAGGTATGGGACTGCTCCCTTCTCTCTGATTTATTTAATGTGAAATAATAGTTCACTTAAGAAAAATACTGTTTTCCTGCATTCTCGTATAATGAGCATTGTCTTTAGCACAGAGTTAAAAATTCATCTCTAATTTGATTTAATTGCAAGACTATTAAACAAGGCAAGTGCTACCTGCAGGGGTCCATCAGTCTGTTGAGAAAGCCCAGAGATGTTTTCATACTTGAAAACATTTGATGCCAGTTGGAGACCTTGTAAAAGTTGCTTTCCGTACAGCATCCAAATATTTTTGTTTCAGTACCGATTGACTGTAGAAACCTGGATCGTGAGGAAAATAACAAGGTTAATCATTTCCCACCCAAGGGTTATTAGTAATCGCGTGCATGCTATCCAGAGAACTGCAGGGTTTGTTTATTTTTCCCCTTTGCTTTAATACTTCTAAATCCTCAAAATAAAAGTTTCATTTAAATTGCCCTTTAACTAATTAGGTTTTCTAGAATGAGTGGGAAAAAAAATGATCAGACTAGCGTAGCTATATAGCAATTGCATGGTGCGCTACATTAATTTTGTACTGTTTGCTGATGTTCTTGAAGGAAAGCTCAGGCCCCAGGTGAAATGCCTTCAGGACTTTGTTCTTCATGTATCCAGATCCTCATCACAGATCCATTTCATATTCGTGTAACTAGCATTTCACATTCATGAAACCTCTGTGGTTATCCTAAAATTGAATGAACATTAGGACATAGCTGCTTCTTTAATCCTGAAGACTAAATCCAGCATTCCCATGAAGGAAGGGAAAAGGAGGTTTAGCAATCTTGATTGACAAAATTTCCCACCTTACGCAAATTGATTTTATATATATATGGTAAACTTTTTATATATGTGGTAAACTCTTCCCAGACTAATATCTAAATTCTGAAAGTGTAAAACCAGTTTTTAAGTGTGAGCTAATATCTGTGATTTTGTTAATTATCTCTACATGGGGCATCTGGAAATTCCTTGCACGAACAAAGATTTGCCAAGATCTCCAAAATGTCCTCTGATGAATTTTCAAATTGTGTGGATTTCAATTGAAGACTTCTTGGAGTGTGAACACAGTCAACTAACTGTTGTACTTCCTGAGAAGAATTAGACAGAACTTTTGCTTGGGACTGAAGGGAGATGTGCCCAAATGTCTACAGAACTACAATTTGCAAATGGTGAATCACAGAATCAGGATGGCTGAGTTACTTGCTCAGGAAGGCCCATCTGAGTCCAAAGGCTACGCATCTAATATTAACCCCAAGTTACACAGGTGGAAAGAGGAAAACTCTAGACTTGCCACCTTCTGTTCCTTCCAATCCACTCTGCTTCCCCTTAGGCCTTTTGGATCCATTTCTAGGTTGGGAACTTTTGTGTCGATTTCCTGGTACCTCACTATGCTGTCCACAGACTTCCCAGCATGGTGTATAGGGAGAGGAGGTAGGAAACTAGGAACTTTGCCCACATCAAATATGCCCTCCCGCTATACCAAACATCCCTGATGTGCTGAGGAAGAGGGTCAGTATAT